AAAAAAAAAAAATGCGTGCCATTTACAGGTGATGGTGTTAATGATTCTCCAGCACTGAAGCGTGCAGATATTGGAGTAGCAATGGGTATTGCTGGCTCGGATGTCTCCAAACAGGTGAAACATATTTGCCAAGAAAAATTTCGGAAATCCTGATGATACCCTAAATTTTGAAACTAGAGATTTTGATATTCTTTCAACTGATATCGAAGTGTGGACATATGGAAGTTATCGTCACGGATTATGATATTTTCCCTTCAAATTATAATCCATTAAGGCGGTTTTTCTGTAGCCAATACAGCAAATTCTGGCATTGCGATGCGCGCAAAGCATCCGAATTGTTTTATTTCATCTTGCTTACAAAAGTTAAAAGTTGAAATTAAGGATTTCGCTTTGTTCCTCCATTACTTCGTGTTTTTCAGCTTTTCCCCCAACTCAAGAAAATCTGCTTTCAAATTCCTTAAACCGAGTCTCGAGTTTCACACCGATTCCTCCAATCTCCTGTCGCTCTTCCTTTTTAAAATGAGGCAGATGCGAAATTATTACTTAATCCATACACAAATGCATCAAAGAGATATATAAGAACTAAGCTGTCGCATATTGACGAGTAGGTGGTACTTCCAAAGTGGAAAAGGACTGCCCGGATGGTTTAGGCCAGGCATGAACTAGCGAACTATTGCTAGGATGGGGTGGGGGAGGGAGGAGGGAAGTAGATTTAGAGGCATGCAGATACGTCGGATACTTCTAGACAGATAGTTCCGCTGGTTGCAGGCAGCGGATATGATCTTGTTGGACGATAATTTCGCATCAATCGTTGTTGGCGTAGAGGAAGGCCGACTGATTTTCGATAACTTGAAGAAGTCGATTGCTTATACACTCACATCGAATATCCCGGAAATTTCTCCCTTCTTGACCTATATCCTTGCTGGTATCCCGTTGCCTCTTGGTACGGTAACTATTCTGTGCATCGATCTCGGGACTGATATGGTACCAGCAATATCGCTGGCTTACGAGGAAGCTGAATCGGACATAATGAAACGGAAACCACGTGATCCGCTACGCGATAAACTTGTCAACGAACGGTAAGCGTAAAAGCGGTTGTCAGAATTTTACACTGCACTCGTTGGCTTTAAATGATGTTTCTTGAGCATTTTGACATACAAGAAGTCGGGCGGCACGCGAAAATGCATGCTACTTCCTTCTGTCGCTGCTTTTACTGGCTAGCGTTGGATGGAGCACAGCGAC